CTCCAGAAGCGTCCTTCCTTTCCCCTTGCTCCTGCACACTTCTTTGCCCGCCTGCTGTGTGCCAGGCCCCGCCCTGGCGCCCCTCACCCTCGGCAGAGCCCAGGTTCGCGTCTCACCTCATCGTGTCTTCCTCCCTCCTGCTCACTGGGTCCCACACTCTCCCGCTGTGCCTGGAGGCCCCACCTCAGTCCTTCTGGGCAGCCTGCGGTGGGCATGGGTGTGAGGTGGTGGGCGGAGACCAGGCGAGTGCAGCAGGGGAGCGCATGGGCTGAGGGGCAGCGCCATTCTGCGCTCCGATGCCACCCAGGGGCACGGTGTCCACTGCTGGGCTGCTTGAGGCTAAACCACCAGGCCACATGGGCAAGACCTGTGCTGCAGCCTCAGCCGCTGCCCTGACCTTTCACCCACTTGGCGCACTGGCTGTGACCCTGCTCCGGGACGTGGCAGAGCAGTCACTGGCAGTCCCGTGTCCTGCTGGCTGCTGGGCAGGAGGCCACCAGTCCCTCAGCCCGGGCCCTAGCTGCCCCAAGTCCAGAGCAGGAGAGAAGGACAGAGAAGAGGGAGGTAAGGAAAGTGTGTGGCCGGGGCCCCTGCCGCAGTGGGGCAGCGCTTACCCTAGGAAGGGTGCCTGGGACAGGCCCAGGCTGCCCTGGGGGGCCTTGCTGGGTGGCACCAACTGACTGGGGAGACAGAAAGAAATTTACTCCCCAAAGCACAGAAAGCCAGGCTGCTGAGGGGGCAGTGGCCAGGCGGGCACACACAGTATTCACCCTCAGCACCCTCCCCGGTCTGAGTGGGTGGGGTCACTCGGGGAAACCATGGAGCCAAACTGCTGATGGTGTCAACGTTTTGGGCTTTGGGGAAAGAAAAGAAAAGAGGACACTAAGACAGAGAGAGCAGGGAGGTTCGGGCCCTGTTGTGTGGCTTTTCAGAGCCAGCTGCAGGACAGCTGGGGAGGGAGGCTGCCATAGCATGTGGTGGCTCTGCCCGCCCTGGGGAGCGCCCAGGTCACTGGCCCAGAACAGCCGGAGGCGGTGGGGAGTGAGGCCCTGCGGCTCCTTCTTGTTGACAGCACTTGTTGCTCGAGCCTCTGCCCCTCTGAGCCCAGTGTGCTTCCCTCCTGGCCTCATGGGGACCCTCGGGCGGGGTGGGGCAGAGTGTAGGTCTCCAGCCGGGCACCTCTCGGGCACCCAGCTCCAGCTGCCAAGGCCCAGGGCAGCCGTGTGGTTGCGATGGTGCCTCTGAATCCACACAGCCTGCTCTGCACTCCATGCCCGCCGTGCACTGTGCTGCGCGTCTTCTGCCCTGGGTCACTCTGGGCCGCGCTGTCCTTAAAGCCGCTCCCGTGAGGTCTGTGCTCTGCTCCTGTCCAGCCACCACTCTCAGGGGCTCCTGACATCCCCGCAGCACCTGGGGCACAGCAGGGGCCACCCCGGGGTGGGTCCCATCTGTCTGTCTCCACTGCACCATCTACCCTGGATTCCGGGGTGCAGGTTGTCACTGATGCGACAAGGGGTGGGGGTTATGAAGTTGTGGTTTGCCAAGCTTTATCTTTTTTCTCCCCTTTATTGCAGTACTGGGGATTGACCCCAGCAAGCTGCACAGAGCTGCATCCCAGCCCTTTTATTTTTAATTTTGAGACAGAGTCTTGCTAAGTTGCTTCAGCTGAACTGGAACTTTCAGCCCTCCTGCCTCAGCCTCCCCGAATGCTGAGGTGTCAGTGTTGTGCCACCATGCCTGGCTTGTCAGTCAGTGTTGATGTCTCTATGGTGGGAGTGACAAGCTTTCTGCATTCCAGGGTGACTGGAACCCCACTTCCCACATGGCTCTGTAGGTTGTAAAATATGTGTAGAGAGCTCCTGAGAGCCGGTGACCGTGATGGGCACCCCACAGGTGCCCACTGTGTCTCAGAGCATGTGACATCACAGCGAGGTAGCAGCGACTGTCCCGAGTGTGTGCCATGTGTGCACTCCTGCGCCTCTGTGTGGAGCACACTACCCTGTTTTCCGACAGCCCTGCCACTGCCCTGGTGTGGGAAGCACTGCCTTGCCCAGGTGGCTGTCACAGGACCATTGTGCAGTCATCAAGCCTGGGACCTGTTCATGGCCGTCCACCCACCCACCCCCAGCATGCCACTACTCAGCCAGGATTCCATCAGAGTAACCTGCAGCTTGGAGGTTGGGGTAGGTAGGGGCTGGGGTCTTCCGCCAGCTGCCTTCTTGGTGGCACCGAGGTCTGGTCTGTCCTTAGGCTTGTGGCTCCCAGCTCTCTGCTCCATCGTCCTGCCTTGCTGGGGTTCATTGGGTGGAAGTGACCCACTGCAGCCTCCTTCTCACCCCCTAGGTCCCTGGGCCCCTCCAGCAGCTGGCCATGTGGGCCTCTGTCCCGCACTATGCGTGGCGTGTCCTGAAGGTGGGGCTCCAGCAGCGCCCTACTACTGTGTGCGAGGGCCCTCTCACCAGAGCCTGCTCCTGGCGGCCTGCAGACTCATCCTTGGGGGGCAGCCCATGTGGATGGCTGGTGGTGATGGGGCAGACTTGGCCACCCAGGATCACCCCTGTGTGCTCAGGGTGTCAGTAGCCATGACACAGGTGAGAGGCTGGGGACCCAGCTTCCTCTCCCAGGAGGGCAGGTGCTGTCCGTTGCCCTGGGGCCTTCCCTGGCTGGGGCTATCTGTGGGGCTCAGCTCTGGGCGGGGCTCCAAGCGTGAAGTCCAGGGACATGCGCTGCTGTCCCCTGCCAGGGCTGCAATGGGCAGGAAACCTCCTGTGAAGGGTCAGAGGGTGGATTCGGGCTGTCCTCTGATTGTACCTGTTTGTCACGGATTGAGAAAGAGATTCTAGGAGGATCTAAGTGATGCTGAGATTCCAGGCACCGGTGAATGTTTCCAAGTTCATCCTGGGTTTTATTTCTTTCAATGGTGTCTAAGTCCAGCAGGAAGCCAAGCCCTGTGACCCACAGAAGGTGCATGTGAGCTGCATGGCCCAGGGGCTGGGACTGAGGGCAGCACCGTAGCTGCCTGACTTGGAGTCAGGGATGGATGATGTTGTCTGTGGGATGGTGCTCATTGTCTCGGAGCCCGGAACCCCGGTGTGCTGTGGGCTGTACCTGCTGAGCCCATGGTGCCTTATGGCCCCGAGGCTTGGTGGTTGTGCCGAGGACAGGCCCTTCCTGCCCTTCTGTTGTGTTGCGGCTCTTCTTGCCACTTACCTGTGGAGGGAACTGGGTTTGCTTGTCTTGTTCTGGTCCTGGGGGTTCTAACGGGCCTTGGCTATATTTGTGAATGGCTTCTGACCTTGTGCGTCTCAGAGCCTCACAGGCCCCAGGTCCTAGCCAAGTGAGACCCTGTGTCCCAGACACCCGGCTCTGCGGGCCAATGGCTTGGGCTCCTTGCCGCTCCCTGGGGTCAGCCCTGTCTGCCAGCAGCCCAGGCCCCAGCTGGGATGGCTGCCTCGTCACCCCATGGTCCCATCTTCCCAGGCCAAACCCAGGGTCCTTGACTGTCCATATTCATCACAGTGTACTTGTGTGAAAGTTAAGTGCTGAGGAGGATTTTACAAACCGGAGCTGGCAGGATTGGGCCTGAGCCAGGCCAGGGTGCGGTCCCCGGGCTGAAGGATCAGAGTGGCTGCAGCCAGTCAGGTGCCAGTGATGGCTCCAAGGTGACAGGAGCTGGTGACAGCTGGCACTGCCCGAGGTCTGCCTCCCTGGCTTGGTCGGGAGCCGGGACTCCAGGACCCAGGCCCTCTGCTGCCCCCGTGTGGTCCTCTGAGGGCCACTCAGCCAAGTGTTGCATAGGGCAGGGGAGGTTGGGAGGGGAACGTGGGACAGACCCGGAACACAGAGAGGCTCGGAAGGCTCGGATCATCCCTTTCTATTTTCTGTCCTTTGTGTTTGGAGCAATGAATTAACTTCCTGTAGCAGCTTCCCAAGTTACTGAGCTGAGTGGCGCAAAACAGTCAGCAGCTACCCCTCGTCTCTGGGCCAGGGACCGCAGCTGCAAGCTGGAGGGCGGCACCGTCTGGGGGCTGGCAGCCTGGAGGACCTGTCGGGCCCGGTGGGCGCAGCCTTCATGACGCCCCTGGACATCCCGACACATCACTCGGCCAGTCCGCCCTGGGAGCAGGTCACCGAGCGCAGGTGCCCCCACCTCGTGCAGGACACTGGCCTGCGCCTGCCAACAGCTCTGCTGCACCCCCAGCACCCACGGCCATGCCCACAGCATGCAGGGGCAGCCTCTCATGCTCAGGTCAGGGAGCCTGGGGTCCTGCCCAGGCAGGGGGCAGAGTGGTGCCCAGGGCTGGAGCTGCATTGGGTGTGTTTGGCGGGGCTCTCCTGGTGCCCTGGGCTGCCAACCCAGGGGCCAGCGCCTTCCCATCCCAGGCTGGGCTCGGCTGACAGCCTGCTGTTCCTGTTCCCCGGCGTCAGTGCCAGGCAGCACGGGGCCCACACTGGGGTGGGAGCTGCCAGCTTCCCTCGCCCTGGGGAAGCTGCCAAGGATGGGCAGGTGGCTTCCCGGTCACCCGTGCCAGAGCCAGAGGCTGTCACGTAGGCTTGCACACAGCATGGTGGGCGGTGGGTGTGGAGGGCTGCTCCTGCAGGGGCTCGGCTGCGCTTTGATCTTTCTGAGGAGATGCTGAATGGATGAAAGAAACCCATGATGCCTTCGCCCGGAGGCTCTGCCGACGCCCTTGGTGTGCCCCGTTCCTCTGTCTCGCACCCTCTCCTGATACTGAGGGGAAGAGTGTGTACACGTGTGGTGTTCCTGTGCGTGGTGTGTGTGCACGTGAGCGTGTCAGTGGTGGTTAGTGTCTCTGAGGTATGTGTGTGAGGCCATATCAGTGTGTTGTCGTGCCGTGGTGTTAGTGTGCTGGGGTGTGGCGTGGCATCAGTGAGTGTGGCCTGCGTGTGTGGCGTGCGTGTGTGTCAGGAGGGCCGCAGTCCGGGGCAGGAGCGGTGTCCTCCTTGGCATGGCCGCTGATGGTCTGGTGCTCCCACAGGACGGCTGTCCTCAGCGAGGGCCCCTGTGCCCTGCCCTGAGCGTGCGCCATGGGCCTGCTCGCCTACCTGAAGACGCAGTTCATCGTGCACCTGCTCATTGGCTTCGTCTTCGTGGTGAGCGGGCTGGTCATCAACTTCATTCAGCTGTGCACGCTGGTCCTGTGGCCCATCAACAAGCAGCTCTACCGCCACGTCAACTGCCGCCTGGCCTACTCGCTCTGGAGCCGTGAGTGTCGCAGGGTGGGCGAGGGGGTCAGGAGGGGCCCAGGGTGGCCCACACCGGGCCGTACGAGCCACGGACCTGGTGGCTTCCCGTGGTTCAGCCTGGGCCTGTGGGTGAAACCCAAAGCTGAGATAAATCATGGAGCAAACTAGCAGGAAGCAGGGTAGAGCTCCAGCACACGGGAAGGGGAGCGGCAGGTGGGGCAGAGGAGGAAGGTGTGTGCACGTGCACCGACCCAGGAATGGAGCCAAGTGCTGCAGATACAGGCTAGTAAGGGCCACAGTGGAAGTGGGCAGACAGAAGCCCGGGAGCAGCCAGCCGCGTTGCCAGCCCCGGCCTTGGGCTCCCACCCTGTCCGCTTGGGCAGTGTGTGCGACAAGCGTCCCCCACAGCGACATCGCAGCCACCAGAGACTACGAGGTGGCTTTAGATGCCGGGCAGAGCCAGGGGCACTGGGCTGCGTGGACAGAGGGGCTGCAGCAACATAGGTGGGCTGGGAGGGACCTCAGCCCGCGGAGGCAGAGTTACCACAGCCCCACGGCTGACGTGAGCAGAGTACCCTCTCAGGAGAAAGGATGAGGTAAAAGCAGTAACGAAACCCAGCAACCAAAAAGCAAGAGTGTTTGCTGTCCACAAGTCCTTGTTTTTTATTTTAAGAAAAGACTTGAGAACCAGGTATGCTGGTGCACAGCTATAATCCCAGCACTTGGGAGGCTGTAGCAGGAAGACTGCCACAAGTTCAAGGCAAGCTTGCAGTGCATAGCCAGATCCTGTCTCAAAAAAAACAAAAGAAAAAGAATGGCCTTGGGTAAAAACGAAAACCACCAAAGTAGGGACTACACTTCAAGAAAGAGTGGCAGCCGGGGAGACGCCCGCAGGGAAATCGAAACAACGCTGTCCGTGCTGGCGGTGCCCACAGGGCCGTGCTGCACCGTGTGAGACAAGCAGCCTCACAGACAGTGGTCCCGGCCGTGCCCACGTGGCAGGCCCCAGACTGTCCTCCAGCTGGGTGGGACCCTCTGGAGAGGGCCCGTGGAGAGAGCAGACAGCCCCAGCAGCCTCACCTTGCCACAGCCACGCTGTGCTCGGAGCCTGATGGAATTGGCCCCTGCTCAGTGTGGTCCGGGCAGCCCAGCCACCCCAGCACTCTTCCTGTGGGCACTTTGCCCCCAGGGCCCATGTCCTTGGGTGCTCCCTGGGGCACTGTGCCCCACATGTCGCCCCTTTTGGGGACCTGAATTGTCTGTCCGGCTGTCAGCAGGGCTGTCCCCACCTTTGGCAGTTGTGTGTGTGGGCGCAGGTTTTGGTGTGAGCACAGCCACGTTCTCCTCTCCCGGACGTGGACTCATTGGGCTGTGCACGATGGGAGTTTGCCACCCATTCCGTCCTGAAGTGGCTGCACCATAGGTGTCCCCTTCAAGAGGAGAACCCCGTCACCAGGCCGCAGGAGGTGCCATGGCTCCACTGTCTGGGAGCAGCCAGCAGCAGTCCTGGCCTCGTCCCCAGGGGGCTCTCGGCTGAGGACTGGCGGCGGTGACCTCGGGGAAGGACAGGCTGGCATCTGGCATAGAAGCATAGGCTGCCTCGTGACGTTCCTGTTCCGTCCTGGAGGTTGCCCTTCTCCGATGGCTGCTGGAGCTGGTGGCCATGCACGGCCCCTTCCCAGGGTGCACTGAATGGCGGCTCCCCTGAAAGGGACTTGGGCGCACTGAGGTCCTCGCTGGGCAGAGACCTGGCCTCTCACCTCGGAGCTCTGCAGACCAGAGTTTCTCCTGGAGAAGCTGCGTGCCCCCCTGTGCCCAGGATAGGCAGTGTGCGTCCCTGCTCTGCCCTGAAGCACGCACAGGCCTTTGAGCTCCGGCCAGGACAGCGACGGACACAGCTCTCAGCGCAGGGGCACCCAGAGGGTGGGTCGCAGCACATGAGCTGCCTGACACACACGGCCCTGTGCCTGTGCCAGCAGTGGGCAGCGTGGCAGTCTCTGCAGCAGGCTGGCCCCGGCACTGGGCTGGACTCACGCTGCTTGTTGGTTTAAATTTGCAAAACTTTTGTACTAGAACGAAGCACCCAGCAAGCATCCAGGGACCTATGCCTGAGTTTCTGGGACACGGTTTTCCAGTTTCTTCAGTCCAGGTCTGAGGTCACAGGGACCTACTCCCATCCACCCGCGCAGGCTGCCACTGTTGGTAGCCGAGTGACCTGCCCTGGGCACAGCGCCTGTGGGATAGCAGTCACCTTGGGGCCTGAGGGCCCGGCCCCTCCATCCTTTACCAAGGACGCCCAGGGAAGTTCATTAGCCATAAGCCCCTGAAGCGCGCCGTGAGTAGAGAACCCTGTGCCTCGGCCACAGCCATCGGAGCCTGGGGCCCGGGAGCTTGGCGCCCTCACCAACACCCTTCCCACTGCCCGTAGAGTTGGTGATGTTGCTGGAGTGGTGGTCCTGCACCGAGTGCACGATCTTCACCGACCTGACCACACTGAAGTACATCGGGAAGGAGCATGTGGTCATCATCCTCAACCACAACTTCGAGATCGACTTCCTGTGCGGGTGGACCATGTCCGAGAGGTTCGGCTTGCTGGGGGTGAGTGAGCAGCTGGGCTCTCCGAGCCTGGTTCCTTGGGCCGGGTGGGCAGCTGCTCAGAACGATGTGGGGCGACCCCACCCCGGCCCTTGACCTCCCCCTCTGCACCCCCAGAGCTCCAAAGTCCTGGCCAAGAGGGAGCTGCTCTACGTGCCCCTCATCGGCTGGACGTGGTACTTCCTGGAGAACGTGTTCTGCAAGCGCAGGTGGGAGGAGGACCGGAACACGGTCGTGCGAGGGCTGAAGCGCCTGGTCGACTACCCTGAGTACATGTGGGTGAGTGTGTCGCTGGGCGGCCCCCACGGTGTCCCTGTCCCCACAGCACAGCCGAGTCCTGAGGCCGAGGGAGAGCGGGTGTGGATGTCCTGGTCGGCCCGAGACCCTCGCTCCTAGCTGTCGCCCCAGCACAGGCTGTGGGGACCAGACTGGCTCTGCTGTCCCTCTGTGGTCAAAACCACAGCTCAGAGCTGCCAGCAAGTTCACCTCTTTTGCAGTGCTGGCTGGGAATTTCAGCCCTAAGATAGCATTAAAGAGCCTGCCTGCGTGGGCTCCGGGCAGCACTGAGCCCTCCAGTCGGAGCTCCGCTTCTGGCCCTCGAGCCCAGCTTGAGCCTGTGTCCCCACGCCCCCCAGTTCCTCCTGTACTGTGAAGGGACGCGCTTCACGGAGACCAAGCACCGTGTCAGCATGGAGGTGGCCGCCTCCAAGGGTCTGCCGCCGCTCAAGTACCACCTGCTGCCACGGACCAAGGGCTTCACCACCACAGTCCAGTGCCTACAGGGGACAGGTAGGGGCCACAGGCCACCGCCATCTTCCAGGCTCCCGCGTGCCGCGAGAAATAAAACTAACACCTTCGGCAATGGTGTGTGAGCTTGGAAGGACGGCAGGAGAGGGAAGCAAGGGGACGATTTTGAGAGGATTCCTGGCAATGTGTCTTCTACTGTGACAGTTAAAAAGTGTATAGGAAACTTATATCTGTTATTCATCTGAAAAGAGCCAAAAGAAAGGGGCAGCTCACAGAGGACAGGTGGGAAGTAGGGAGAGGGGCTCGCGTGTACAGCGGCCAGCGGTGTGCGGCAGCTGCGTGCCGAGGCCATGGGCCGCAGGGAGACTGCTCACCGCCCCGTCTCTCTTCCCCGCAGTGGCCGCTGTCTATGACGTGACCCTGAATTTCAGAAAAAACAAGATCCCATCTCTGCTGGGGATACTCTACGGGAAGAAGTACGAGGCGGACATGTGTGTGAGGTGAGCACCGCTCCCCTAGCTGCCATCCCGGAGGCCAGAGCCGCGTGGGACGGGGCCCCCAGGCAGCAGCTGGGACACCGGGAGGATGTGGGCTGGGCGGGGTCGAAGGCCTCAGTGCCCCCACTGTCCCCCAGCCGGCATGAGCCACCTCCTGCTGGGTGCCCTGGGTTGGTGCCCTGGGTTAGGACCCCTCTCTCCCTGGCCTGTTCAGGCTGGGCAGGGCTCAGCAGCCAAAGGACACAGGGGCCCGGGAAGGCGCTGCGCAGGCGCCATGGGGATGGCCTGCCGGGTGGTGCTGTTTCCTACCAGGCTGCAGGAATGGAGTCGGTGGCCACCGTACTCTCGGTTCCCATGCGGCCACTGACCTCCCAGGCTCAGGTTCACTTGCTCAGCTCACCTGTGGGGGGGGCACCAGTGCCCCGGGCTGCAGTCTGTGAGCTCAAGCCCAAGCACGCTCACACAGCAGACAGTGAGCAGGCAGCTGTGTCCCTGCTGCACTCTGGGCCCAGCGTCCCCCCTTCCCTTCCGTCCTGGGCCCAGCAGGGAGTGAGCTCAGGCCTCTCCCTGATCTCTCCAGACCTCTGACTGGGGCTGGCCCCGCCATCACTGTGACAAATGTATGAGACAGTGGATGTAGGAGAGAAAGGTTCGATCTGACTCACGGATTTGGAGCTTTTGATCCATGAGCACTTGTATGCGCTGGGCCTCAGGGAGGCGCACACCATGGCAGGGCATGTGGCAGAGGAAGCAGGAAAGAGAGGGATGCCCCCCACGGGCCTGGGCAGGGACCCTGCACCCTCTACTGGGCCCCAACCTCTCCATTGGCCCCTTGGACCAACCCTCTGTCCCGTCCGCTGTCCCTGGAGCCATTTGAAATCCAGGCTGCAGCACTGGCTGCAGCACCAAGTCGGGTCCACCCTGCTGTGGCCGGTGCTGGTCATGTTTGGGTCTGGCTGTCATCCCGAGCAGGAAGCAGTTCAGATATCTGACAGCTGCCCAAGGTGGCCCAACTTACTTCACGTTTTAGTCACTTTTCTCCTCACTGAAACACAATACCCAGCAAGGCCCACAACTCCAAGGAGGAGAGGATCACTTGGGCTCACAGTGTGTGGAGGCTTCAGTCCATGGTCGGCTAGCTCCAGGTAGGGCGGCACAGCATAGGGCCCTGGCGGAGGAGAGCTGCTCACCTCATGGCAGACAGGAAACTGAGAGATAAGGAGCCGGGGGTGAACCCTCCCAGGCCACGCCCCCAGGGACCGCCTCTTCCAACCAGGCCCAGCCTCCCAACAAGTCCGCTGTGAGCCCCATGATCCAGTGGCCCCCCCCGCAGAGGTCCCACATCTGAGTGCGTGAGGCTTTGGGGGAAGTCAGGGCGAGTCAGTGAGGGCAGAGCCAGCGGAGTGCCTGTGTGCATTCAGTTATCTGGTCCTTCTTAATTTTGGCGCCATACATACTGCATGTGCATTAGACCTGAGTGCGGGGGTGGTACGCATGTGATGTGTTTGTGGTATGCAATGTGTGCGGGTGTGTCTGGTGTGCACCACGCATGTGTGGTGTGTATGAGGTGTGTGTGATGTGTGGCATGTGTTGGTGTGTGGGGGCCATACTGCGTGTACGTGTCTGTGTGGTGTCTTCGTGTGACTTACCACACACGTGAGGGGACAGCAGTACTGCAGGCCTGAGCTTTGCAGCCGGACTCAGCAGGGAGAGAGCTATGGTGCCGCTGCAGCTCCCCGTGCACCCGCGCCCCCTCCTGGGCATTTTGGGTACTGCCACTGCTGGTGGAGAGGCATCTTCTCACCGGCCTTTGTTTTTTGTTTTGTTCTTAAGTCTACAATACAGAGACTTCTTTGTTCTTCATAAAAGTCCACTGTGAGCCAGAGGGCTCTGGGCAGCTGCGCTGTCCCTGAAGGTGGCCCCAGGCTGCTCTTCTGCAGCGATGACTCTGCATAGCCACGGCACAGTCTAGGCCACGGAGCCGAGGAGCACTAGCTGTTGAGTCCCTTGCATGGTCCAGGAGCCACAGAGCTTGGTGGGAGTGGGGACACGTGGGTTCCCATCACACTGGGAGGAGGGGGCTGGGAGGGGTGGGCAGAAGCCACACCTGCGACGCCTGCTCTCTTCCTGGGTTCTGCCGCTGCCTTCCCGGTGTTGGGAAGTTCAGAGGCCTGCACCTCCTGCTCCTTCAGGCCCGGCTGCAGCAGGTTACAGGGTCCCTGCCAGCATACGCTTCCTCCCAGACGTGTCTCTCAGGCCTCCCTCGGGGATCTGGACCTGCCCGCTGGGCCCCAGTGTGCTGGGAGGGAGCACTGAGTGGGGAATCACTGCACTCCTTGTCTGCTTCAAAGGCAGAGAGCGAGGCCGAGCAGAGCACACAACCCTTGCCACTTGTGCCCGTGCCTTGGCGGCACACAGGCTCACCTTGCCCTGTCCCCCGTCACAGGAGGTTCCCTCTGGAGGAGATCCCACAAGACGAGCAGGGCGCGGCGCAGTGGCTGCACAAGCTGTACCAGGAGAAGGTAACTGGCAGCGTCCCCGGGTCCCCGCCCCACACAGGTTTGGGGAGGCAGCGCCCGGGTCTCCCAGACATGACCCCAAGCACCGCGAGGGCCTCACGCACTTCTGATCCTCCTCCTCTTTTCTTCCCTTTTTCTTAATGTTGGAGAAATCAACAGTGGGGGAAAGTGTGAGGGTGACGTAATGCACACACTGTGTCTTGGTTACAGACAGAAATGATAGTTGTGGAGCAGACATTGCCTGATGTGGGGAGGGTGCTGGCCCCATGGGTATGATGCAGACAGTGCTGGACGTTCTCACCCAGCCACGGCCTGCTCCCCACACTGACTTCCAGACCACGTTACCCTGATGGCCATGAGACGTGGGCTTCCCTTTCAACACGGTTGGCTGCCAGATGACCAGAAAGTCCTAAGAGGTACCGGTGAGCTGTCAAGAGAATAAGAGAAACCTAAAAAAAAAAAAAAAGCCAAAAAGAGGCTGGAACCCAACATCCAGAGATGGACTGGTGGGGCCTTCGCTGGTCCTCATAAAGTCAGGGTTTTAATGCCTGCCTGGAAAAGCGGCTGTGCCCTTGCTCAAGACAGGAAGGTGGATGCAGAAGCCCACATGGAGCCTGCCATGTGACCCTCTGGCCGTGTGACCCTGGGGAGGCTGAGGCTTCTGCTGGGCTGCGGAGCATCTGCCCTGTGCCTCAGCAGCCACTGCCCATGCTGGCTCGGGGCCCGTGTGAACCACAGCATGGGCACGAGCAGAAGACTAGGGTGGGGCTGCGACACCAGCGTGCAGCTGAAGACTCGCAAGCACCTCGTCACCTGTGGGAGTCTGAGGACCCAGCCCTGTCCAGGCTGCTCAGGGAGGCAGCATGGGGAGATCGGGCCTCGGACAGGGCCAGGTGAGCCAGGCGAGCACACGGAGGACAGGATGCAGAAGGAAGAGGAGGGGAGGTGCTGCCCAGAGAAGTGGCCTCCAGCAGCTGCAGCACACACGGTGTCTGCCACACATCGATCCACACATTAGTTCTCTCCCACAGCTGCAGATCGGATGGATGCTCTTAGCCACACCTGCTGTGCACACCTGCATGCCCGGCAGAGCAAGTCCAGTGCAGCAGGGCTGTGCTGCCAGCTGGGCTCCTGGGACTCCCCAGCTCAGCCGCGAGTGGCTGGGGTGCAGATACACACCCTGTGGTGGAAGCTGTTTAGACTGCAGCTATAGAAAAGCAAACCAGCTGCACCAAAAGCACTTTTTTTCTAAGAATAGTAAAGTAGGAAACCTTGGACAAGATGAGTTAGTTTTAAAAAGTGGTATCATCACCAGGAAAACAATATAGGTAGGGCTCATATGACTGTAATACATGTATTTGGAAACTTGGATAAAATATGTGAGCTCCTTCTATGTCCTTTTATGATAAAGTCGGTAGGGAAGGGACTTCAGTTAAAGCGATCTGTGACACAGCTCAGCATCGTACTGAATGGGGGAAATGAACGCGTTCCCCCAAGATCTGGAACAAGAAAGGACGTTGCCCCCCGCTTACTAGACATAGCACTGGAGGCGGGAACACCTGGACGGAAGGAAACAGAGGACTTCCAAACTGGAAGGGAGGAAGTCACACTGCCCGTTTACAAACATCATCTCATGTAGAGAAAAACCTAGAAACTCTACCCCTACCCTGAGAGACGATCAGAGAAATTCACTGGCAGGACAGGAGATCAGTGAACAAAAGCCAGTCGTGGTTCTACACACCCATAATGAACTTGCTGGTCAGGAAATCAAGAAAGCAGTGCTGTTTATCATAGCTACACCACAAAGGGAGTCAAAGAACAGCCCGGAGTCAACTTAACCAAGGAGATGAAAGCTATAGAACATTGGTGAAAGAAATTGCACACACACTCACACACACACACACACACACACACACACACAGCTGAGACAGTCCCTGCTCGTGGGCTGGAGGAATTGTGATGCTTGTGGGGAGGCATCAATACCTGACTTCAAAACACACCGCGAAGCCTGCACCTCACACGGCACGGTGCTAGCATAAAACGGACATGCAGACCGAGGACACAGCACAGAATCCAGGAATAAATCCACATATTTGCAGCCAACCGATTGGTAATAAAAGTGTCAAGAACATTGCCCTGGAGAAAAGACAACCTGTCAATACTGATGCTGACAAACTGGATAAAGGGATGCAGAAGAGCAGAATTGGACCCTTACCGGACACGCGGCTCACGGAAAGAGCTCAAAGGCCTGACTGTAAGGCCTGCGATGATTAAGTGGTTTCAAGAAAACTTGAAGACATCATTGTGGGTGCAGAGTTTGAGATCTGACTATGAAACTGCGGGAAATGAAATCAAAAATCAAAAATTACATTAGATCAAATTTCAAATCTCCTGCACAGAAAGGAAACAACCCACGAGGTGGGAGAAAGCATTTCCAGGGGGGTTTTCACCTGCCAAGCCCAAGCGGTGAGTGTCCAGAGAACAGGCACTCAGATCCAGACAGTGCAGTCTCAAGTGGGCGCCGCTCGGGATAGACATTTTCCAGTTACAATTTGCACATGGCCAATGAGCAAATGAAAAAAAACGCTCAATACTACTGATCATCAGAGCGACGCAAATGAAACCACAAGATCATCTCTCTTTGTTTAGAATGCCGTTGTCAAGAAGACAGACAAAAAAATCAACACAGGAGCGCATGCAGAGAAAGGGGCTCCCTCGCTGTTCCCTGTGGGGAGTGGTGTGGGCCCCGCAGGAGCCTGGGCTCAGAGCCGGCTGGGAGCAGGGCGGGAGCTTAGCATGCTTGAGGCGGCACATGCGCACGCACCCAGAAGTGGAACTGCTGTCTGTCCGGCTGTCCCTCTCCGTCCCTCTCCCAAGAATACATCCAAAGGAAAGGCAGTCAGCATGTGGAAACTGTGACTCCCAGAGAAGTCCGAATCACCTAGGTGTTCCCCAGTGCATGCATAAGGAAGACACAGCAGTAACAGTGTAACCCTATTCAGCGATTAAAAAAATAAAATGGTGTCATTTGGAGCAAGAGGATAGAGCTGAATTACATGATGTCGAGTGAAACAAATCAGGCACAGGAAGACACTCCAGTTCTCACTGTCCTGTGTAAGCAAACAAAATCCGTGTGGGAGAAGCAGGGAGTGGAGCCGTGGCTACCAGCGGGTGGAAGGGCAAGGGAGGGAGCGGGAGTGACAGGCACAGGGCACAGGTGCGGGAGAGAAAGGGGCTTCTCGCTTCCGAAGCACAGCAGGATCGGGGCTGTGGACAACATTTATCTATGGCTTCAGCATAGCTAGTAGTGAGGATCTGGAATGTTACCAAGCAAAAGAAGTGACAAACGTGGAAGGGGACAGACGCCCCGGTCCCCGATCCGACAGGACGCATGGCCTGTGCGCCCCGAGACGCCGTCAGTGTGCGCGGTTACCGTGTGTCAGTGACCCTGGAAAGCATCCACCGCCTGCTGTGCAGAATAAGCAGACGCCAGGGCAGCGGCTACAGATTTGACGGACTGGCGTGGGTGTTTTCTTTGCATCCTGTCCTGTTTTCCTGTCTTCGGCGATTTGCATGTCCTCAATTTTAAATCTGCACCTAGGAGGTCGTGCTGCTGGGTCTCCGTCCTGCTTTCAGTCACTGCTGTCCTCCAGATGGGCGCATGGCGGCTTAGGTTTGACTCGCTGCTTTGGCGCTGTGTGGCGCCAAAGTGACTTGTCCACTTCCTGTCTGTGCGTGTGTAGTTTGTTTGCCACTGCTAACAAGACCACGGCTGTGTGACTCCCACGGCAGCCACTCCTGGCTAACAAGGCCCTCGTGACATCCAGCAACGAGCCCCCGCCCTACATTATGTGCCAGGAACCCAAGTTAGAGAACTAAATACAGAGAATGAAACATACAGCTTCCCGCTCCCCAGGCTATGACAAGCAGCCCTCGGCCTCACCTGCCTTCGAGTGTCACAGCTGCTCCTTGCCCTCTGCTGTCAGCAGCCTGACGCTGTGCCGTCTGCACCTGCTTGTTCCCATCTCCCTACACCTTGTGCAGGAGCTGGAGGGGCCGTCACGGTGCACCTGCAGGATTCCCACCTGAGCTCTCTGTGCTGAGTGTCCTCTTGCCCCACGGGAAGCTGTCAGCTGGGGTCCTGGTGCCCTGATGGTTGGGGTACAGAACTGGGGACCCAGCCCCCACGCCTGACAGGAACGGCAGGATGTGACCGGTGGTGCAGCTGTACCCGCCGGGCCTGGGCCACGCCTGTGCTCCCAGCTCTCCCCGTGTGGGTCAAGCCCGTTTTCACTGTTGACAGTGTCCCCGCCTGAAGGTGGCACATGAAGAGACCATGCGTTTCTGCTTTCCCCTGCCACAGGACGCACTGCAGGAAATGTACAACCAGAAGGGCTTCTTCCCTGGGGAGCAGTTCAAGCCAGCCCGGAGGCCATGGACCCTGCTGAACTTCCTGTGCTGGGCCACTGTTCTCCTCTCACCCCTCTTCAGCTTCGTCCTGGGCGTCTTCTCCAGTGGGTCCCCCCTCCTGATCCTCACATTTCTGGGGTTTGTGGGTGCAGGTAAGGGGCACAAGTGCTCATGGCTCATAGTTGGGGACCCTGCTGCCTGGGACCAAATGGCAGTGGCTGGTGGGCAGGGACTAGGGGCTGTCATCGCAGCTGCAGGGTGGCTAAGATCACAGGGCTGTGTCCTCTGCCCACACGAGGCCACTGGCCCCTGGGGAGGATGGTGTGGACAGGGTCCTGGTCACTGAGTCACGTTGGGCCCTCAGGGGGTTGGGCTGTTGGCCTTAGTGCTGTCCCCCGTGTGCAAGGCCCTGAGCACAAGGCCAGGCCCCTCCAGAACCCATGGTGCGTGAACAGCACCCACCACGTGTATGCCATTGCAGATGGTCCCTGCCAGGGAGGACCCTTGCTAACAGCCAGCCCTCGGCCCCGACAGGCTTGTGCCATGCCCGGGAGTGTGAGAGCTCACAGAGGCGACCAGGGCCTCAACCACAGAGGTCAGGACTCTGTGTCCTGCTCATCCATCTTGGTCACCCTGTCACCGCTTCTGACGCCCTTGTGCACAGGAGACCGGCTGGCAGGGGATGCCACGTCCTTGCCTCCACCCTGCTGGTGGCTCCAGCTCCTGTCGGCCACCTCAGGACACCTCCCTCAGGACTGACCCATCGGGCACTGAAGGAAGGGGCAAGGCAGAGGACAGGAGGCCTCATGCCCCGTACAGCCTGTGCCAGGCACTGGGCTAACCTGTTCTCTCTCTCCTGTCTTTAAAGCGTCCTTTGGAGTCCGCAGACTGATAGGAATGACTGAAATAGAAAAAGGCTCCAGCTACGGAAACCAGGAGTTTAAGAAAAAGGAATAATTGATGGCTGTGATTGAACACACATAACCTGACATGGTATCCAATTAACTCAATTAAAAACAGAGAACACACAGAGCGAGGCGGAAAAGAGACACTTAGAAACTATTTTTCTTATTAATTGGTGACTAACATTAACCAATAAAGCTTGAGCCAAGAGCCAAGAACTGAGAAGGCTGCCAGGTGAAGACGGCACCAGCGGGGTCCCCGCCCGCCTGCATGCCGTGGACAGAGGCGCCAGAGGGGCGGCAACCCGGGCTGGGGACCACAGCTCCAGGCAGGGTGTTGCTGTCTCTCCAGAGCTCTGCTTCCATGGGGCGCCTTTGGCTGCTTTCTCTTCTCAAACCTAGATGGAGGTTTTGGTTTTTATCGGTGTTTCAGGAACTTAACGCAGCCCCTCAGCTCGTCCCCTGCACCCCTCAACACTGCTCCCACGAATCTTTTGCTGTCCCCTGGGGGTGGCCAGTGGCTCCTAGTCCCCCAGAGAGCTCCTGTTCTGCCCTGCGTGGCACCTTGGCTTTCAGGCCCTGGGTGGGGCAGGAGCGGGCCCTAGTGATAAGCACACTGAATGTCGGTCTACACGCAGAGTGGTCCTGCTGTCCCTCTGTCCCCCGCAGACGGGGCTGGCAGAATCAAGCGCCCATTCTGCTTTCTGCAGCCCTGCCTGCCCACTTCCTGTTTAACTGGGTGTAGATGTCTCGCATCTCTTCTTAAAGTGCACGGACTGTGGAGAGAGAGGTCTGGCTGCTCCAGAAGCTCCCCCGTCCCTCTTCCTCTGTGTGGCCGTCGGGCTGGGGTCAGGCACAGAGAGGTCGTGGCCGGCTGGTCCCGCAGGATGCTCTTGGAGGAGCAGTGGCACCATCATATCCCGTTCTTGAGTTGAGACTGTCAATGCTGAGCCTGCTGGCGCCTGGAGATTTTACTTTTACTCATTGGCTTGAGGATGGCTCACCACTTCCTGCGGGGAACAGGAAGCAGAGGCCCCCTTCCTCCCTCGCCCTCCGTGGGCACAGTGCATTCTCAGGAAGGGCTGCCCCTGACCAGGCAGGTGTTGTTGGGGCTCTGAGGCCTGCTTCTCACCTCTGACAGCCCCGGTGTCCCTGCAGAGGACAGACTGCCTCACCCACACTCGGTGTCCTAACCGAGGTCCCTTGTCCCACCAGGAAGATGTTTCTTCCAGCATCACGAGCCCAGCCTGGTGGCTGGCGGTCGCTGTGACACCCGGGGTAGTGGGCAGGTCTGTGCCCCTCAGCCGCCTGCCCTGGGCTCCATCCTGAGCTACCGCGGCCTCCTTACAGTCACACTCCCTCCACCGGGCTCGGCAAGGGGAGGTCGGGTGTTCTCTGGGACGCAGGGCAGTGGTCTGGATGGAGACGATCCAGGGAGAAGCCAGAGTAGAGAGGCACGAAGATTAGAAAGGAAATCGAGGTGTCGATTCTGTGTCCGTGCTGAGCGTCGAGGGGAGAGAGGGCGGTGGCCTGGAGTCTGGTAGGAGTCACTGCCGCACCCCAGGCCTGTGTGAAGCGAGCGGTGTGGGCGGTCCGCGTCACAGCTGCTCCCAGGGCTGTGGCAGAGCGCAGCGCCCGGTGAGGGTGAAGGTGTCACCCAGGGACGCACTGGGCCTCTCCCTCCCTGGAGCGCAGCCCCTGCCACCAGTTTCCTTTCCTTTCCCTCCCGATGCACTGTCCTCGTCGTCCCTCGTCTTCCCTGTTCCTGGCTCCCGTAGCAGTCACGAACTCCAGGCTTGGGCATCAGTGCAGGGCGTCAGCGTGGTTCACAGCTCTGGCTCCCAGAGCCCCCCAGCAGACACGTGGGGGTAAGTGCTACCCTGAAGGGGGCACAGGCTTCACAGGCTCCGTGTGCACCAAACCTTCCAAGAGCAATAAAAACCACGCTGTGAATGTTTGGGCTTTTTTTTTTTTTTTTTTTTTTTTTTTCTTTTCTTTTCAAACTCTTGAAAATCACTCACCTATGCTCATCATCTTCACTGCCAAAGCCCCAAGCCAAGAATCACCAAGATTAGGCTCATTTTTACGTGATACACCAAGAGACCCTTATCTATTTAATATCACTTTTACACACACACACACACACACAGTAC